TGCTGAGAAAGCACTGAAGTGTTGGATCAGAAATTTTAATATAATGCAAAGCCAGGTAGCAACCTTACTTTACAAATGGCACAAATAGGCACAAGCTAATACAAAGTGAATGCAAAATGTTCCTTGCACTGATATAAAGCCTGGCTTGTAATTAATGATCTTGGTGTGGTGGCTGTTTTCTGTCCTCCACATTAGTCTTAACAGTGTTAGCATGGGGATAGAGACCATACAGATGCTGATTGGTTTTGTCTGTTTGTTTTTTGATGCATTCTATGTCACCATAGACATAGGACATACCTTTAAACTACTTTTACAGTCACTGTATCTTTGGCCTTTCCAGACACAAGAATAAATTATATTACCCCAGAGTATGTACTAATTTAAATTTCATGGGCAATGATATCTAGTTAATGAGATGAGATTGGCTGAAGTACAGCACTGTTTGACAATGCCTTATTTGCTTCATTTAAGATAAAGGCTGGCTCAGAACCATCCTAGAATTTGCTATTGTTTAATTGTTTAAGGCACCCTCCTATTCTGGCAGTACTCTTTGTTTTGGGGATGCCTGCACTGTGCACTGGAGCTTAATGCAGGCTGTATTTGCTGAGATTCCTGCATTTTCTGAAAATGGGGCTAGCATGTACATGAGGCTCAGTACAACTAGGCCAAATTTTTTACCCTTTATTGAAAATATTTATTAGCTCGCACATTCATACCAAATGTTTATATATCTTCATTTCTGTAACTGGTTTGGGGAATCCCTGTACCATGCTCCTTCATGTGCTGCATTTCCAGTGAACTCTCCTGCTCATTATGGCTACATAAAAAGTAAGCTAGGCTTATATAGAAGAAGATAGGACTCCAGAAATCTTCCTCCCCTCTTCCCATAGGTCATGATTTATCTAGAAGTGCTAAACATAGTCCTTTCAAATTTAACTATGTAAAATAATTATGTATTCTTTATCCTTCTCCTATTTTGCTTCTAAATAACAGGTTTATTTTCTATTACCACTTTTTATTCACATCAGTAAAATGTTGTACGGGAAAAATTACAGGTTTTCTGCAAGGTAAGTTTGTTTAACATATGGTGTTTTGTTAGTTAAGATTTGACCCAAACCTCACCTAAATTATGAGATATTTTAGACAAATTGCACTGTATAAGGTCTGTTAAGTTACAAATTTCAGGCTGATCTTGTGGCTTACTGTTTTCTTTTCTTTCTTTCCTTCTGTTTTGTTTTGTTTTGTTTCTCTCTCTCTCACTATCAGGAGGTATTTTTGAGTGTGTGGAATCTGGTCCAATGGGAGCAGAAGAATTAGCCTTCAGATTTGCCGTGAACACAATCAACAGAAACAGAACTCTCCTGCCAAACACCACATTAACATACGACACTCAAAAGATAAATCTCTATGACAGTTTTGAAGCATCCAAAAAAGGTAACCTCTTGCAGATTTACATTTTATATCAGTGGCTAAGACTTGATTGGTTCATGTACTCTGAAAAATATCTGACCATAAAGCCATACGAAACGATCCTGTACAAGGTTGTAGCTCGCAGCTGACATCAAAAGGGTGTTTGAAGACTGTCCTTTGAAGGCTCTAATGGTAACTGCTTGAAAATTACATTATGTCAGTTCTGCTTCTACTGCCCCTCTTTCTTTGTTTAAACATTTAAAGTCTGAAATCATTTTTTTTATGAGCTTTGCAATTGGGGTGTTTCAGAGATTAGTTTCTTTAGAGTCAGAAAACAGTATCTCCAAACTCTGCCCTGGAAAGTGCTAGGTGAACTTGGAGGAGGCTGTGAATTTGGCTCACAGCATTAAGTATTTCAGGGTGTGGCCATGACTATATGTCATTAGAGACCTATTCTGCCCAGCTCACTTCAGTACTTAGTGATGTAGCAGAACCTGCCATCATACAGGTGCCGGCATAAGTAGTAATGTGTTTTACTTCAGGGGTGTTGCCTAAGCTGCAATCCCCGCAGTGTCTCAGTGACTGCCTCAACCGTGGAGGAGCTACCCATGGGCTAGGCTTTCCCTGAACAGCATGTACTTCGTAACAGGAGATGAAGAGAATGTTTTAGAGACAGGATACATTTTAATTCTGTTGATATTGCCAGCAAAACGTAATCTGCAAATAAAATTGGGTTCTTAATACGGAAGCTGTTCTCACCTGCTGTTTCCAAGATCTTTAGAGGCAGACCTACAAAACCTCCTCCTTGATTAAGGATCTGGATATTAATTTTTAGAACTTCATGGCTAAAATACCCTTCTTCAATACTCACCAGGGCTCCAGCTCAATTTTAAGCATTCAATCACTTTAAGTACGTATCCAGGAGCGCCTTTAGCATATGCTTAGGTCTGGGTTTCCAAGGGGAGCAAGAAGTTGTAGTTTTGTCCATCTTATGTCAACAAGGCATAAAAATAAGCTTAAAAATTAAGACTGTGCTGAAGAATATTTCTACCAGGTGAATGTCTAGGCCTCAGTTCAGAAATTTTTTCCTAACTTTAAAAGATTTACTTCAAGGAAAAAAAAAGTTAAAACTAAACTATTCTGAACATTTTCCTAAAATTTCAAATCTTTGATTCTTACAAGAATTGAAGTTCTCAGATTGCTTTACATTTTACTCTGCAACAGTGTGATGCCACATTGCAATAGCACAGAAAAATTTAATATATGTATTTTACAGGGTAAAATACAAAGCCTGGTGTCAGAAATCAGTAGGGCTGAAGTTTGCACTGTGTTACATTCTCTTTGAAAACATTCTTTTAATAAATTGAAAAGCCAATTACATAAGAATTTTATCCTTAATAATAAAATAAGAGAGGTGAAAAGATCAGAGATCAGCAAGTGCTTCTTATGGCAGGTTTCCAGTTCAAATGTCCTGAGCGATCTGGTCCTAAAATGATAATCCCAGGTGTTCAAGACTGAAAGCATTATACAACATAAGATTTGTGGTACTGTAGTGGGCTAAGCTGAATAAAAACATTTGATATGAAACTATAAATGCTGGCTAAGGAAAAGCTGCTGAATCAAGATGAATGTACATGAAGTACATCTTAAAAGTAGTATATAATAACGATTAAAACTTCAGCTTAGAAGTGGTGAGCAACTTTTTTTTAACTCGTTGAAATAAATCTTGCTAAGCTGTTTTACCTGTTCATTTGCTAAAGAAATCATTCCAGCATAAGGATATTGATGTTAGGCATGAGAACAGACAGAATCTATATTTGTATAGAAATGTTCACATTTTTATCGTTGTAAGATGCCTTGATTTATGAAAAATACTATGGGCTAGATTTTTACGCCTAGCAAGATGGTTTCTTTGCAGAGGATAGTGTGGGGAGGAAGAGGAGAGAGAGAGGCAAACATTACTTTTAACACAGTGTGTCTGAGTTATTATTCTGCTGTTTTGGATGATGGAGTAAAGCACGTTTGGAGAGACTACTGTTTCCTTTCCATCTCAGCCAACAGGGAATGAGGTGATCCTTAATTATGACCTCTCTCCTTTCCTCCCCGTCTTCCAAATTCAACTTCTTCCTATCACCAGCACCTACTCTCCTGTGAAATTTAACGGGACAGAGGGCAGCAGTCCCTTTTTGCAAGGGACTGCAATTGAATTTCTCTCCATTCCTAAGAGAGGAAACAGGGAATAGAGAAGTTTGTTCTGTAGCCTTTAATTCTTTAAGCCTTTCCTGAGACAATTCCTTTATAGGCAGCCCTTACTTGAAGTTTACCTGAAGGTGCAAGCTAGCCCTACTATTGTTATGGTGCTAATCCTTGATAGAAGGGAATAGCAGAAGTTAGAATGACAACATATGCATAACAATAGATTGGGTACATTCATGATTCCTATTTGCATCTTGGGATGAAAATGTACTCTTTATTGGTAACTATTTGGACTGTATCAAAATCTATGTAATCTTCCAGTGCTAATAGCTTTTTGCTTCATCCATGCACAGCATAGACAACTACATTTATGCTGATAGGTGCTTTAGCTCGGAATCAAAAGCTAAAGGTTAACATAAAATGGTTCGTGTTATTATGATGGCTGCAAAGCAGGTTTTTAACAATGAGGCTTAAGCATTTGACTCATTTTGTTGTTCATTATTACATCCATCTGTGAGCAGGTAGGCACTGCATCAGAAATAGTCTTCTTAGACCTCTTAGTAACACATACTCTTGAAGTTGAATTCAGATGAAATATTAATGGATCTTCAAAGGTACTGTACAAAAGAGTAACCTGAAGGCAAGACAATAATATTCCCAAGTTACTGTTTCAGTGGAAAATAACATAAATGCAAACTAAATATCCCTCAATACACTAGAAAAACTCGTATGCTTCTTGTAGAGCAGTGCCATATTAAATCACGTGTGAAAGTATTGCATTATTCAAATCTCGGAAATGGAAAAAAAGCCCATTGAAAAGCCATCTGGTAGCTATCGCCGTTGTTAGTGATCCCATTCACTGACATTTGCATAAAGCTTGTTGATTACTCTTAGGAAGGGCAACATTAGCATTTTTTTTTTTTAAATCAAGCTAGTCACTTAGGCCCTGATCCGATGCTCAGTAATGCAACAGGGATCCTGTGCATACATGAGAAGTTCATTTAAATCACTGGGGCTATGCAGGGATGAAAGGGTGTGCCAGCATAGTTTCCAGAGTGCACTTGAAAGGCATAGCAGCATTTCCATCATGTTAGAAAAGGTTGGTATGAACACTAAAATAATTATTTTTGACTTGCTGAGGAAAGTAATGCAGCAATATACATTTCTACTGCTTGTTTCCTCAGCTGTGATGGACATAGATGGTGTTATAACAATATTAGTTAATCAAATCTCCTATCAATGCACACATGCAGATTGCATTACGGAGACACTTTTCCTAACTTCTCTCTACCAAGTTCGATGTTATCTTGAAAGACAACCTGTTGTGTTTCAGAACTGCATACTCACAAAGGCTGCATCTATCGTAGTGATCTAAATAGCAGCAGGCATAGGCTGAAACAGTGGCCTATAGTCACCTCTGCTGCCTAATTTTCCTGGCCTGTTTTTGGCACCTGCCAACTAATATTCTCCCCGGTAGTGCCTGAACATACTGTGAGAGATGATACAGACCAGAGACTGTTTCTAGTACCCTGTACTGGAAAAAGGTGAGCTAAGCCAGTTGAATGCTGCAGTATCATGTCAGTGACTCTCAGGGCCAGTTTTATTTACTAGTACAGGTATAGCAAAACAGAGTATCTCCAGTGTTTCACAATGCACACTGAATTTTGTTCATTGGCAGATAGCATTTAATTTTCTTTTAGGAAAAATCTTGGCCTCGACCTTCTGCTAGTCAATGTATATGCTCTTCAGATATAGAAATTCAAATATCCCTTTCAATGAAATTTATCATCTACTTGATACTTGGCTAGAATTAAATTGACTTAACATGCACAATTTCTGAGTAATTAAGTTCTCAGTACAAACAGTGTTACTGGATTGAGGAAAAAGTTAATGCCTAAACAACCTAACTTAGGATGCTGTCCCATATGGCCTTTCTCCAAACATAAGACACATCTGAGCATAAATCTCACATCTTGTCAGTGTTTTTTAAAACATAGGTAACTGCTGGCCTTTGCTTTCCACTGACCTAGGAGTTTGTAGCTGAGTGCTATTTAGATGTTAAGGGCTGCTATTCATCGGCTCATAGTGAAAGTTTAGAAATTTATTCTGAAGTTGAAACCTGTGTAAAAGAAAGTGTTAAACTTGAACAGGAAAGGAGCTCTCTCAGCAATAAAGCTGTATTTCTTGGAGTGCCTTTTAATTAACGTAAATTGTGCGATACCTTTTGGCACACTGCCTTCTTTCCTCTCATCATTGACAGACTTCTGTCTCCTCTTCAGCCTGCGATCAGCTGTCCCTTGGGGTGGCTGCCATCTTCGGACCGTCCCACAGCTCCTCAGCCAACGCGGTGCAGTCCATCTGCAACGCTTTGGGCGTTCCACATATCCAGACCCGCTGGAAACATCAGGTGTCAGACAACAAGGACTCCTTCTATGTCAGCCTCTATCCAGATTTCTCTTCACTCAGCCGTGCCATCCTTGACCTTGTGCAGTTCTTCAAGTGGAAAACAGTCACTGTTGTTTATGATGACAGCACTGGTAAGGCTAAAGTGTTGGGCTGTGTGCAGATATATTCATGTGTACAAAGGCAGGGGGGCCTAGCTACTGTATAGCTTTCAGAAATCTTAACTAAACCACAAGGCGTTCTGTTGGCAAAGTAGTGCATAATAAGTACTGTGGATTTATTAGCATAAGTATTCCTATAAGTATGCTTCATTTGCTGAATTCTGCGTGTTTGAGGTTGCAGCTGCCAATAAATCAGTTGTGCTCTGTCTGTGTTCTCTGCAGTTGCAAACAGCTATGTCTTTTGGTTTTATTTAAAACTTAAATTTTGAAGAAAAATGTGGTAATATGAAAGAGGTGCTAGTACAACAGGTCAAATAGTACAGCTAAATTATATCCCTGGATGTTTGTTGATACCATTGCTATATAACACTACTATCTATCTAAACTTGAAATACAAAAATAAAATTAAGAAATAATCAATACCTGTTACATGGTGAGGCTACCTGTAATAAGCCTCTAACTCTGCAAGACAGAGTGCAGGTACAGCACGTAATGCCTGCTTATCATCTAAGTTCAAATAAGATGTATGTTTAGCTAGCAAATGGTGAGAAGTGGACAGTCAGAAATGGCAGTGCATAAAACTATTCGTAACTTTTCCATGTATAAAAAAAAAGTCAGCAAATTTTAGAAGCTGTCTTTCTAAAAGTTTGTTGACGAAATTTGTTAAATGTATAAGATAATTTAATTTTTTAAGGCAAGAAATACCTATTTTGTTTATTGAAATTCTCCTAAGTTTTTTTATTCTTTCCTGTTCTGAAATAGGATAGGAAGTAAAAAAAAAAAAAAAAAACCCTCAAATTGTAAGAAACGGAGATTGAAGAATGAAACAGTTCTATAATTAGGTTTACCTTGAAATGACCTTGAAATATTTCACTTTCATTTAAATCATTTAAGGGCTGTGTGAATATATATATATATATATGTATATATATTTACTAAAAACAGCTTACACTTTAAAATAGCCCTTTCAGATAGAAAATGGTGATGTGTTTTAAGATTATGAAACTAGCTTCCTCAATATTTTAAAGTAACTATCTCCCCTTCCACAAAAAAAATTAACCAAAACAAATGTTTAATAGCCTATTTCATATTCCATATTTTCTGAAAGGAAAATGTTGTTGAACAGTCTTTGCTAGATCTAATCTTCTTGTAAAGAACATTGTGAAGGTGGAGATGTAAGTACAAATGAAGATGGAGATTAAATTTTTTTTGCATATACTATGATTTACAGACGGTATATTTTTAACCAGTCACTTCTGTAAACATTTAAGAAGAAAATGAGCACGAATTCTTTTAAATATATGTGGGTGGCTGGACTTTGAAAGTCAGGAATGAATAAGGCGACTCAGGAATTTAGATTTTTAATAAGCATAAAATATTATTTCTGGAAATATTTACTTATTTTAAATCTATATTTCTTTTTAGAGTTGGCAGACATTTCATTGTGTGACACTGACTGTTTCCACTGATAAATAGTAATTCCTGCTACAACAACATCCTTTTTCTTGAAATCTACTGCTCTCTGAGGAGACAACAAAAAAGAATCAGTTTTAAAAAGCAACCCTCCCTCTTTTTTGTGGCTTTTTCCATAAGTAAATTTAAAGTCTACTTTTTAAAGACTGCCAGTTTCTCTTTGTTTGGAGCATCTCCTATGGATACTTCAAAGACTTCAAAGGCAGGACACGCTGCTGGGAAGTCCACGGCCTGAAGTACAAGCCTTTGAAGTACATATGGGAACAACTCTTAGCTATGAGAAATTGTCGATCTTAAAGAAGTAGAGTTTAAATCTTGTTAAAGTTTAGCTCAGCTGCAGACTATTTTTTTGCAGAAGGAGAATAAAACCAAAACTTTTGAAAGGAAGTAGTTACTTCAGCTGAGGAAGAGGTCATTCCCAGCCATAGAGTAAGACAAATATTTAGTCATGAACCTAAGGTTGAAACTGAATGTGCAAGTTTAAGCTAATAGTTAGAAACTAAGTTTTATAAATCTCCTCATGCCATTTCAGACTTTATTTCAAATTCATTAAGATGAAGGCAATGAAAACAAAAGATTTATCACTGCCTACATCTCTATTTCTTCCATTTGGCCAGTGATTCCTTAACGGAAGACACATCTCCATCTCATTTCTCCTTCTTTTTTTTTTCTTCTACTTAACGACATTCTTTTCTCTCCTTTGTTGAAAAGCAGTTTAGGATAATAAAATTATTATTATTATTATTATTTTTTTAAGTTTGAATATCTTGATTATTAGAACTCAAATTTGATGTTGCTAAATGCAAAGATACTCCACCTGTCCCAAAGCGTTCTAATAACAGCCGTGTCCGCAGTCTTTATTCATTCGATATGGGAATTTCTCCTCAAGGATACAGAAAAGGAAAGAGCTGTGTGGTTATTTGACAGCCAGTGGTCAGCAAAAGCTCATATGACTCCAATTTCACTCCCAGGAATGCATTGGAGACTGATACTTCAAATACACTTTCACTGCCTCTTGGCAGCACCATGGAGCCTTACTGCATGCATGCCCCTTGCCCTTATGCCAGATACGCGAGTCTAACAGGTAACAGAGCATATTTCTGACGCTACATCAGGCACTCTAGACAAGTGTAGATGCAATCTTCCACCATAGTATTTGTGTGCCTCGCAATCCTTAGTGTAGCTATCTTCAAAACATCCATGTGATGGGATGTGTAAAACAGACTTTCTTCAAAACTGAAGGGAACTCTGGACTTGAATCCAAACTTTTCCAACTGTATATCAGAGCCCTAACTGTGGGCTGGCATCCTCTGATGGTGGAAGAAGCAATTATTAGCCTAAGCTGAAGCAATTGAGCGTTAATTTAGGGGAGGAGGGAGTATTACTCTTTAAGGGTAATTGCTTACCAGAGCAGATTACTAAGTGTAATCCCTAGGCAGGCGTGTTTTGCCTCAACTAACCTACACTAGATTCCCAGTTCTTCTCCCTACTTAGACTCGCTGCCACATTTGCTTGATCTTGATCCCCTTGATCCAATTTGATCAGATTCAGTGTGGTATGGAGCATGTCATAACTTGTACTTAAAGTCCATGCTCAGTTTGAAATAACTGAAAAGTGTGACACTCCAGGCCCCTTTGCATTAGTGAGTGTTCACACATCTGAAAGATTACGAAGAGTGGCCATTACTGTGTTGTCAGTCTCCCTAGTTAAAGGGCCTGCAAGCTCTGTGGAGGATAGAATCTTGCTGCTAATGCAAGAAAAACAAAGCAACAAAAACAACAAAAAAGAGCAAGTTCATTTCTCTTCCTTTGTCCTGAACCTATTTCTCTCCTTTTTCCATAAAGAGGATGCTTTTTCTGCACGAATCGAGCATTAGGGATGGGAACTAGGCTCTGCCCCAGCTTTATGATGTAGAGTTGCTAAGTCAGAGAAGATTACCCCATGGAGAACTGCCATTTTTCCTCTTGTTGGTCTGGACATCAGGATATTGGGTTGTCTTGCACTGATCAGACCAGCTGGCCTTTTGTCACAACTTCAGAGCTGCTAATGAAGAAAACTGGATAACTTGGAGAAAAAGAAGGTTTTTTTCAAGCTGAAATAAAGGCAGAGATGTTTCTAAAATTATATAATCAATTAATATTAGGGAAAGCAATGATCAGGCAAGAAAAACTTTAAGAGGAGAGGATATAGAACCTTAAAATGAAGGATAAATTATGTACATATAAAAATTATGAACGTATAAATAATGAACATAAGGTAATGAAGAAGAGTAAAGCCTCTACAAATGGCATGCAGTAGATAAATAAACAAGAAAGGCAGTGGGGATGAGGTTGTAGGAATAACAAAGATAACTGAATGGGGAAAAGTTTTAATATAATAAGGCCTTCTGCCCTGGCAGTATTTTGTGGAGTAGGCATTGTGAGAGTAGGCTGATTAGCCTGTTCTTTCACAGAAGAAAAGGGTTGTGATTACATTATCTGTGGATCTGTTTTTGTCAATATGCCTGCATATCACTTTTTTTACTTTAAATAATAGCTAGATCCTACTTTCTTCTGTGATTTGTTTCTCCCTTCGTTTTAGCATTCATGAGACGTTTTTCATGTAGTCCATCTGTTGCACAACCTAAAAATTGGCATCAGGCTCTTGAACACTTCTCTTGCTAGTGTGAAAACGTGGTATTGTTTCCTGCTGTCATTCTAAACTGCAAAATATGTTTCTTTCAATTGGAATTTCCCATTAGGAAACTGGGAAACTTTTTTTTTTTTTCTTAAAGTAATTTATGATCTCTTTGTTAATTAAATATTACTAAATTGTCCATGTATACTAATTTGGTCCTTAAAAGAAATGGGAGAAAATGGCAGCATGTTCAACAGATGCACGTCCTAATAGGTTTAATTACTCCCAAAATAGTAACTTAACTTCTTCGAAATACTAAAATTTCAAGTATATATTCTAATATCTGTGCTACAGAATGCATATTAGATCAATTCTAAATGTAAGTTTGTGAATCCTAGAAATCTGGAGCAAGGTATACAAGCTGTTAGATGCCAGCACATTTGAATTACATATTTGCAGTGGCAGCTAATGCTTTATGTAGATCAAGTTGATATAAACAGGGTTCTGTTTTTTTTTTCTTAATTAACATTTATTGTAGTCTTGGGTGAATGAGTATAAACACTAAAAATCTGTTATATCTATGAACAGAAGCCAAACTAAAATCTGGAAAAAAATGACTTCAGGAATAAAAATATTTTGTGTCAGTTTTTAGTATTCAATCATGTGGGTAAATTTAAATGAAGGAAAGAGAAAGATGTCTTGTTGTTGATATTTTCACAATTTTGTGCATGTGTGTGTGCGTGTGTGTGTGTGTACCATTGATTTGTAAATAAAACTAAAATTTCCTCCTTGGCAAGGTATTAAAATTTATATTATCTTATTTTTAAAGATAAAGTTCTGTTACCTTGTGTGATTTTTATTATTACTATTATTTTTTTAACTGA